AAGTCACCTTTCATTAATGCATTTCTACATACTAAATTGACATCCCACAAAAAAAGAAACAACACCAGCCAGTGCTCAGTTGAAACAGGCCGGGATTTTTTTGCAATATAGCACAGACTCCATCGCCATCGAAGGACAAATAAATCTCTATCCACTTCTCTGAAATTTCCTGTGCTCATCTTGCTATGCCTCGTACCTTTCGTTTTTTACTGGAACACTGACTTTGCTGCTCTCCCTCTCGGCGTCTTCATGTTGATTTCTTTTCTGCTTCCCCAGACCTTTTCCCTCACTATTCGTTACAACGCGTGTTCCGTCCGTCTTTTGTGATGCTTTTTGCCTTTTTATTAAGAAATCGATCCATTTTGGCCTGCATCTCACCTGGCTACCGAGCTAACTAACCTGGCTGACGACGCGTGCACTGCAGTCAGGGTAGAACAATCCCATAACGGGCTGCGTTGCCAGGTTTGACGTGCCCCCTTAGGGAAACCATTAATTAAGGGTAAGAGAGAAGTATAATGCAAGATTTGCGTTTAGTATGCAGGGTACACGGGGTTATTTATTAGCACATTTAAAATTATTATTACAATATTGTTATAAGCTACCATGCACCCACAAATTAAAGCGCAACGACCGGGCAATGATATCCCTGGGTCTATGTTAATTCCTCCTGTATTATATTCTATGACTTCTTCTGCGCCCCAAGCCAAAAACTTTTCACACTCAGCCCAAGTTAATGTTAACAACAATAGGAGAAAACATGGGTATTTCATTCATTAGTTTCAATAAATTCAATTAGAAAATCTACAAACGAGCCTTTGTTCTCCCGGAACTTATCGTGCGAGGACTCAATTAAACTGATCGGTGTCATTAACGTTAACTCTAAACTCATAACTCTTATTCCACTAATAAATTCAAATGTAAAATATCAATAATATAATAAAATATTTAATAAACTCCATCCATGTTGTCATAAAATCTGAATCCGCTCTATAACCCAGCAAACCAAAACTGTCAAAAATACCGTAAAAATTTTCCCTTCTGTAGAAATATAAATAAATGAATCAAACACTAATACAAGGACCCGAGGCTTATTCCTCGTAATTCGATTTGCTGGCCTGTTGTCGTAAAAGTGGCTCTCCCCTTGATTTTGCTCTGCCAATGTGGCTCTTGTACAAATAGTGAGGATCACTGACATAGACTGTACAATTAAAAATGGACGTAGTCTGCCTGAGGTCACTCTGAAGAGCCGCTGTGAAGCTCAGTGTGATCGGCTCTACTAGCTAACGGCTATTCTAAAAAATGCAAAGAGTCACTAATAGCAGCCATGCTCTTAATTATGCAAAACTTTAAGCCTGAATATAATTTAAACGGGGGAGTTATATAAAAATTCACCTTCTGTGCAGTTGTTACAAACGGGGAAATTACCGCCACTGGACATGTCTGTGTGTTTAACATCCATCAGACCTGTGTTGAGATGTAAGTGTTAATATTCAGACACGTGTGTCTCTTGTCAAAGGTCAGTGTTATAGTTAGAGGCCCTCTGCAGTGTGTGTGTGTGTGTGTGTGTGTCTCAGATTTGCTCTGTTTCTACTCGTCTGGGCTCTAACCACATTACTGGGGGCACACTCTCTGCACAGTTCATCCTCGGGGTCCATCATCCAGTTCCACCACTGGTGGTTAAGGGTCGTCCTCCTTTGCTTTCTGATTGGCTGCGGAGTCCTCCTCCCTGTCCAAGTCTTACATAATGAACCTCAGTGTTTGCCTCGGAGTAAACATGGCAGGAGTCTGAACGAGCTCCGTCTGCAGAGCCATAAACAGCTACGCACACGCGATTCTTGCATCTCTGAGATGAAGTGTTGATGTTGATTTTATGAATGAAACGTTTGTTTTGGCCTCATGGTTTTTTCCCCTTGTGTAGTTTGAAATCTGGATAAATCATCTTATTCCGCACTGTCTGACAGTATCAATTATATTCTGTATCATCCTCTCTCTCGCATCCTCACTGGGAGGAGCTAAGAGGTGAGGAAAGGAAGCGAGGAGACACGTTAGCATAATGATTAGCACCCACAGGTGAGAGAAACAAACAACAAACAAACTCCTGTCATGTTTTTTAGGTAAAAAACCCTTAATATTGTCCAAAAATGTGCTTTAATTAAACATCAATCAAATATGACATATCAAAAAACGCAGGCACTATGAGTTCTTTATCAATGAAAAGTGTGATTTTAAGTAAAGTTACTGTATTAATAACTCCTAATAACTCTAATTTGTAATAAATGATTTAACAGATTTCATATTTTTGAGATTGAGATTGAAAGACTGTAAAACTTATACTCAATAACTCAAATTATTTGAGGAAACCGATAAAAGTTTATTAACTCAAACAATTTAAGCATGAAAGTATTTATTGTTAAGGTATTGTTAAGGTAAGTTAATTGTACTTAGTTAAAAGTATATTACACTCACATGCAGCATTTCTCCAAACTTAAGTGAACTTTTCTTGCAGTAAAGAAAATGATTACATTACCTGCTGACGTATTATAGAAATTAATTAATTATAAAAATTGGTAATTGGTAATTCATTTTCTCTGTTTTATCTATGTGACAAACATCAAATCTTTACAAGTTGGGGGATTAATTAAGAATTATTTGGATTCCTAATTGGGCTTATGATGATTAACAAATCTAAATAAAATCAATAATATACAACATTATAGCACTGATTACAGTCAATACATTTTTATACTGATATAAAGTCAACTTAACACCAATATTTAAAATACTGAACACATTTAACTTCACTAAAACAACTGAGTTGCTTCAACAGTTAATTTTTGAGTTTAATGAGTGACTCCAACTGTTTTTAAAGTATTATTTTATAACTAACTAAATGTAAAATGTTTGAAATTACTTTTCATTGTCTACAAAACTTGAATGTTTCCTTTTCGAAGAAAAGAACATCTGACTTTTTATGCTCTAAAATTATGATTTTTATGTGTAACACACTCATAAATCAACCAGTTTGGTTGTTCTTCGTGTCTCTTCCCTGTAATTACACAGCTTGAACAGCTGTGATGTTTCCCACAATGCACCTCTGTCATCCACATGTCATAATCATACCAGCTGCTGCTATATCTGTGTGTGTGTGTGTGTCCAGGAAGTATTTATAACATTATAAATGTGAGGAAGACGCACTTCCTCTGTGTGTGAGTGTGTGAGCGTATTACAGGAACTGATCACTGATTGATTATCGGCTCTCTCTGATAATAGAGGTGATGTTGTTGTAAATTGGTTTTATTACAGGTTTTTTCCTTCGGTTCCTTTTCTCATCCTGAGTTTTCCCGGTGCAGATCATCCTGTCCTCTGACATTGTTTGTCAGATGATATTGTAAAAGTGATTACCCACAACTGCCAGTCGTAGGTCATGAGATCCCTGTGTGTGTGTCATTGTGTGTTGATCAGCTTTTGTTGTTCTCTTCGAGAAATTACGCTTTTTTAGGACAAACGTTTTGTTTTTGAGGGGTTAAGATTACGGTAAGAGGATTTTATCAGTACATTAGTGACACAAATGTTTTGGGAAAGACGTCATAAAAGCTGAGAGCTGTACTACACAGCGAGGTAACTTAACCAGGTAACTTCAGGAGCTAATCGTGCTAAACCTGCCAAACCACACGTTTTAGTTGGATCCACACACCAAAACAACAACCTCTATACCTACATAATTTAAATGCAACAACATACTTTTGGTGTCACACAAACTGCAGTCTTCTGGGGAACGTCCTGTGTTTTTTGCCCCATTTCAAGTCAGCCCCTGACCTCGTCCTTATGTGGACTTTGTGCTCTTTATAATTTTCCCACCCGGGAGGTTACGGGAACAACTGTGAAAATGTTAAAGTCGTGTTATTGATCTGTTATCAACTGGGCCTGATCACGCATCAGTCCTTCTGTTACCAGACTTATCTACAGAGAGCAAGTTTAAACATTGGTGTTTGACCTGGAAGCTCTCGTTAACCATAGTATTAATATAAGGAAACGCAATAGAAGCAACAGAGGTAAAGGGAAGACGCCTAATAAACCACTGATTATATTTGAATTACAGTTTTGGAAACTGAGTAATATTTTGATTGTAGACAGTTTTAAAAGCTTTGTTTGGTTATTTCTTCAGGATTTGCAAGTCCGCAGCTACGCCGCAGCCGGATGGGCGTTCCCCTCCAGCATCGCTTTTGTGTCTGCAAGTCCGCTTCGACCTACAGACTGCCAAGGACCCAAGGAGGAGTTTACCCGAATAGGTCACTGGTACGGTGTGGGGGATGGCGCTGCTGGGCCCTGATGGACTCGGGCCCTTTCGAGATCCTCTCCAGCGAATGGAGAGGAGGGTCTGGTTGTCTTAAGGGTTTCCTGAAAGATGCAGTTTCAAGGTAGTTTTTTTCTTTGAGGATCTCGTGATGTGATATCCGTGGATGGGAGAACATCTTTCGGGTGAAGCGTGATCGAACGCTGACGCAGTCGCAGCCTATTTGGTGGCTGGTCACTCGCCGTCTGGTGGAGTGTGCGATGCTCCTGTTGTGCGCTTCCAGCATCGTGTCAGAGGTTATTGTGTCGGTACAGGATTCATGCGCGCGGCCCCGCGCCCCGTGTGCTGGCGGAAGAACACGACCGCTTACAGTCCGTTGTTTGTGTGTGCTGAGAGCGGAGATGAACGCCCCCCCCCCCCCCCCCCATTGTTACTAAAGCAGCAATAAGAAAAAACATTTATACGTGATTTGTTGTTTTGAAATGAAAGATGCCTTTTTAACCCTTAAAGATTACACTTTAACACATAGCAACTAGCTAGCTAGTGTTTCTGGGAGCTAGGCCTCACTGATTTTATAGTGCATTTTTATTGCACTATTACTTAGCCCGAAGCGGCCCCCTTATGGGCGGCCCTGTCTGGCTCCTGCTCCGCAACCATTGTTCTCCTTAACCTCTGATCCCCCAGGTGGAGTTTTCTTTTGCCAGGAGAGCTTCGCCCTGCAGCACGCCTCCGCCATCTTCGAGTGGATCTACTGCATGCTCATCATGCTCTTCTACGGGACTTTCGCCTTCGAGTTCTCGGGCATGTCGGGGGACACCCTGATGGTCCTGTCTAGAGGAGGCGGAGTGCAGAGCTTCTCCACCTCTGAGCACAAGACAGAGGTGGGCGGCGTCTCCAACCACCACCAGACAGAAAGCTTCTCCATGCTGTAACCAAACTGCAGCCCTGCAGAGGTTGAAGGGTCCAAAGGAGGTCAAAGGAAAGCCTGGAAGCTGCATCCTGCGTATCTTCACGCTCCACTTTTATTGCACAGCCAAGGTGCCGAAGCTGTTCCTCTCAGCAGTGACCAAAGACAGACTTTTATCCTGCTTTGCAAGAGTTCAGGCTACACTACAAAACATTGCACAATATTGTTTAAGTGCCTTCTCTGAACACAACGTCCAGCACACACGCAGTCCTCGCTGTTTGTTTTATTTCTCTTAATGAAACAATCACTCTCTGAATTCTTGCCCCGTTATCAGATTGGACGTCCTGAAAGCGCCTCAGATGTTTGGATGGTTTAGACGTTCAGACACCGAGCTCTGAATTGTTTCGTACTCAGGAAGTTTCGTTACATAATCGTCTTTTTCGCTCTTTACCTCGCTTGTAAAAAAATAAAGGTGAAGTTTTCCAAAAAAAACAATAGATGGAAAGTTACTGCGTGCCAAGAATAATTTGTTTCTTTGAATGTGGTTCAGTTGTTCTTAAAACATTTGTGTTCTTGTGTTGGACACTTTTAGTTCTTCTAAGTTTACCTTGTAATTAAAAAAAAGTTAAAATATCCACAGAAACATCTTTATAGCAATATGTCAGCAGCTGCGTCATATCGCCCAAATAAGCTCTGTTCTATATTTTGTTTTATCTCATGTCAGTTCTTGAGTATGGAAGAACCTTCACGCCAGTACAATAAATAAATAAGCTTAAAAAACGTAGCTTTGATAATACAAATATCCTCATGATAAGCTATTATTATGACCTTTTATCTTATAATGTCAGGTTTTATTTAATAATTAAAACTTTTTATTCCATAGTTGTGACTTTTATATCTTAATGTCGACTTTTTTATCTTAAAATTCAACTTTTCACTTCATAATTGACTTTTTATTAAATAATTATGACTTTTTAGCTCATATTTATGACTTAATTTCACTTTTTATCTCACAATTTTGACTTTTAATCTCTTTATTACTTTTTATTACATAATTATGACTTTTTTCTCATAATGTTGAGTTTTAATTGCAGAATTCTGAATTTTTATCTCACAGTCTTGACTTGTCATCTCTTAATTATGACTTTTTTATCTCATAATTTATTTTTATTTCAGGTATTTTGACTTTCTATGTCATATTTTGATTTAAAATGAAAAATGTTTTATTATCGAAGCTAAGTTTTCATCTTATTTTTTTATTTTACTGGCAGCAGTGTGTTTCCGTACTTGTGTCATTGCTTTCAGTAACAATGACATTCTTATAGTTTTAATGGGACCAAACTGTTTGTAAGGATGTTTTCATGCTGTATTTGATCATTTACAGAAATACTTTTCCAAGAAAGTTTAATAAAGTATGCAGAGAACAAAAGAAATAAAGCAAATAGAAAAATATTCTTATTTTGTGGTTTTCATTCACTCTTAAAGAAACTTGAAAAGTATTTTGTCAAAACGTTTTATTGTTCAAAAATCATATTTACATCATTTTCCAGAGATGTGGTTCACTTTTAGACGAGAAATACACCTCGTATAAGGACATTTACTGTATTTTTACATCTTTGCTTTACAGATGTCTGCAGGTCTTGATGAAATTCACAGTTTGAATGTCAAATAATATAAGAAACATCTGTTTCATCTCAAACAACCTCAGAAGAAAATATGATACTATGTTCAGAATACCGGTTTGTGCACTGATTACCTGCTGAAACTCTAAAAACTATTAAAACTTTCAGCATATACTACATGTAATAATTGTAACATCTTTGATAATCCAATATTACACTCAAAGCTGCACATACTTTGCCTGCAGCCAGCTACAGTATATAAAAAGTTTGAGACATCTACTGTATTTTTAAATCTCATCATGAAACATGAACCTCTAAAGAAAATATAGTAATATGTTTTCTAAATGTTTAGAAGCATGTATTTTTTCTTTGTTATCAACATCTGAAACTTCTTTGGGATATCTGCTGTGTGTATCTTCTCCTTCTGCGATCTCATCTTGGAGTCATTTTGTGCAGATGTTGATGAGATTCATGTTTGAATCCCAAATAATATGAAAACAACTGTTTTATCTTGAACATTAGGGAGAAAAACGAAAATAAAATAGTAGATTCTTGGGACTGTTTCAAATTAAAAAATCCTGAATAACTGAAAGAGCAGAGCATCCTGGATTATTCAATCTGTCTGCAGCAGGTTAGCAGCACAGAATAAATCTCCATGGTAACTTATGTGTCGTTGATTTTGTGAGACTGACTAACTTGCTTAATCTCAGCCTGGATAACTGAAAAAAACACAGATTTTGTGAAACAGCCCTCAGGTCTACAGGTTTGATTTTATGCTGTTTTTAAGAACAAAACACCAAAACAGCTGAAAAGACACAGTCTTCACTGTGTGTAATAACTTTAAGATCTTTAGACTCTCTTCCAGCAGCGTACAGTATTAATCATATAAAAAATACTGACAACAATAACAAAAATGTAGATTTTTCTTAAGACATTGATGTGGTTCTGAAGTGAATCTGCAAACATGGCTGCTCTCCCTTAAAATTTGGTCATTCACTTATTTCCTGACAGAAAAGCCAAATAGTTGCCCACAACAACTCTCTCCAAAGTGTGAAACACACTGCGGGCATGTGGCTGTATATCTACGGGACAAAAATACCAAACGGCTCGTGTTTCAGGTTACTATTGAGGGCCGACGAAGTCATAAAAACAGATGAAACCTCTTTGCTCCGTCCAATAAGCAGCGACTATCTGCACCCACCCTGACCCATCCCTGCACACCCTCCCAGCTGCCTTTCTCTTACTGGGTTACAGGAGCACGAGGGACAGCTATCTATACATCACTCTCACACACTCACACTCACACACTCTCTCACACACACAGATACTCTAGAAGTTCAGGTTCTTTGGGACCTCCCATGGAAACTCCTTCCTGCCAAAGTGTCCGTAGCAGGCCGTCTTCTGGTAGATTGGCCTCTTTAGGTCCAGGTCTCTGCAGCACAATCGATCAATAAAAGGTTAATTCAGGTACTTGAACGTGCCCCCAAACATTGTTTATATTTCATACAACAACAAAGCAGATGCAGACTCTTTAGTTTAAAGCCGACCTGACGATGACGCCGGGTCGGAGATCAAAGTTTTTATTGACGATCTGCAGCAGCTCCTTCTCGCTCTTCTGAGCGGAGCCATAGGTGAAGAGGGAGATGGAGAGCGGGTGGGCGACTCCAATCGCGTACGCCACCTGAAAATGTTAAATATATACTTTAAGACCTGTGTTTTAGGCCTTTGTTCAGGGTTAAAGCTATAATATGGAACATTTCTGCATTAAAATGTCTATAAACACTCGACCAGGGGTCAATGACCTTTACTATTAAAAGAGTCAATAAAAACTACATTTACGCCTCATAATGCAAATTTCTTGCAGTAGATCAAACCAGTAAATTCGGTATTTTCCTTTTAGACTTAGTTTTTTTTATTGTGTGTTGATTTGTAATCAATAGCCAGTCTAACTAGGGAGACTCGAGACTAGCAGCCACCGTTACTGAGGTCACTCTACAGCTGTCACTGTTGATTAAAGGCCATAAAAGCCCAAAAATATTAAACAAAAAAATAAAATAATAATAATAACATAATAAGTATTTATTGCAAAGACAGATTTAATCAGATCAGAACTATTGAATATTAAATCATCCATCTTTTGCTCTACCCTCAAGTGTATAAAAACTACAAGTTATGAACTTTTTAAAATGCAAAAATATGAAATTATCAGCTGAAAGAAAATACATATTGTGGATCCCAAGTAATTAGTTACACTACTAGTTACAGGGAAAACTAATATGATTACTATCAATAAGTTACTGCCCAACACTTGGGCAATAATGGTTCTTGTCTCTATTAATATGGAGATGTAGTAATGTAACATATTAATACTGTAAATTATGATAATAGTATAGGAGATTAAGTAATAATATATAATAATAAAATTAAAATGGATTTGATTTGTTGGATCTCACCTGCACCAGAACCCTCCTGCACAGTCGGGCTTTCACCAGAGACTTCGCCACCCAGCGGGCGGCGTAGGCAGCTGAGCGGTCCACCTTGGTGTAGTCCTTCCCAGAGAAAGCCCCGCCCCCGTGGGCCCCCCAACCGCCATATGTGTCGACGATGATCTTCCTGCCTGTCACTCCAGCGTCGCCCTGACAGGAAGTCAAGATTTGCATTTACAATACTTACGCAAGAATAGTGGATTTAAATATGACTGTTCTTAGAGCTCAGTATCAATCAGAATTAATTAAAGAAACGTTGCTGCTTAAAAATAAGTACCATAATTCTGTTACATTTTGTTTAATTAACTAACATTAATTCTCATTATTGAGTCATCTGTTATTTTTTTGCAATTAGTAGATCATTAAATTTACTCATCAATAATATACTCATCATAATATAAAACGGTAGACAGTTTATGTTCTGTGAATCAATTAATCAATAGATTGTTACAGCAGCAATATGAGTTAAAGATCCAGTGTGTAACATTGAAGAGGATCTATTAGCAGATTGGATTATTGGGTTACTGCCAGTTATTGATAACATGCATAACTCCTGTTCAGTTAATGTTAATGCATTACTGTTATTGAAATGTTTAATGCATTAAGATTTAGGCTGAATTAACATCATTCAGCTTCATTATACTTTTGTTTAGTTTAGTGATTAATTATCTCATAGAGTTTTTCTGTTGACCTCTGGGTAATCACACGAAAAGGAAGTTTGTCGAGGGGGATGGAAAAAAATGGCAGAGAGCAGATAGCTGAAGACGAGTGAATACAGAGCATATAGAATTTTTTGTGTACTTTAATGTTAAGTTGGACTATGAACTTGATACTACGTATGTATGTTTTGCTGGTCAATGTGCGCTTTCGTGTGTGAGTTTGTGACTCTGAACTGCCGACGAAGTGTGTTTATACTGTGAGAAGCTCCACAAAGTTAACTAGCCTAGGCTAGGTCAGCAGACGGGAGATTAACACGGTCTTTCTCTTTCGTTTTTTATTTTATTTTCCACATTGGATTTTCTGAATGTTGTGAACTGAGCTCCTGTGTTTGTGTTGTTGTTTCTTATCACATGCTGTGTAAACACTCAGGCTAAAGTTCAGGAGTTTGCATCTTCACATCTTGTGCATGCTAGGAAATCTTTAACTCAGTTTATTATTAAGGTGCATATAGAAAAAAAATAGTCTGAAATGGTCAAAAGTCCAACAACACTTGTCTTGTAGAAAAATAAACAACTTAATTATGTGACCAAGTGTTTGTGGCTGTAGTCAGAGTCCCCATAAAACACATTAGAAAGAACACTTAAACATTAAGCTACTACAGGTGTTGTTAGAGCTTTAACTTCTTCATTCTATAAAGGGACATCCCCCCTCTACCTCTAACACCTTAAGACCTTTACCTGCGGTCCACCGATAACAAACCGTCCGCTGGGCTGCAGGTGATAGATGGTGTCCTTGTCCAGGTACTTTGAGGGGACCACTGCCCTGATGACCTTCTCCTCCAGGACCCTCTTCTGCTCCTCCAGGCTCACGTAGTCATCGTGCTGCACTGAGATCACCACAGTGTGAACCCTCTTGGGGATCACAGCCCCGTTCTCTTGGGTGTAATGAACCGTCACCTGGATGGAGGGAAGGTGAGGACAGGGTTTATATTACACCACATTATGCCTAAACTGAGATTTAATCCCCATTAGGGGTCACCAAAGCTTCACGGCGGGTTGCAAGGCCTTCTTGATTTTAAGGTGTGTAGGAAAACTTTAAAAATATACACAGTAGGTTGATAACTCAGCATTCTGTTCACTTCTGTGACTTCAGCACTGCTATATTTTACTTGTTATTCAGCAATGTGTCAAGTCTTTCAGCATTTTGTTAATTTTTATGAATAAAACTAAATAAAATTGTTATTTATAAAGTTTAGATTACACTGTAAAACCAGAACCAAGTTCATTTAGACAAAAATTGTTGAAACAGGTTACAGCGAAAATGGTAAGTAAAACAAACTCAATTTTGTAAGTTAAAAAAACATTATTGATCAAGTAGCTTCAGTAATTTTAAGTGACACTGACTTAATTTTGACATTTTTATTTGTGTTGGAGCGGGAAAAAAATAGTACTTCACCTCCAAACATTTCAGTTCAACTGCTTAGTGTCTAAACTTTCATGACCTGAATTCAGGGAGAAGAAAACACTGAATTGGTCAAAAAAGCCTGTTAAGTCTGTATGACTGTTTAAAAAATATATAATATATATAATAATACATAATTCCAACTGAGAATTGTATAAAAAGTTCCTAAAAATATCAGAAAAACTAATTCCTGTTACAATATTTACAGGAAATAATCTTCTCAAATACAGTTTATCAGTTGTTCTGTATTGAATCAGTTTACTCATTGAAAACATCCGCTTATTTGAACAAATTGAGGCGCCCCGACTCTAGACACGTGCAGTGAGCTCAGAGCATCAATACGATATGTGCACATGCTGACGCTGTTGAGGGATTCTACCAGCTCAGATGTTGCATACCAGCGTGCTCTGTTCAGTCTCTGCTGGTAAGCACATTCTGGAGGTCACTATCAACGTCACACTACAGTGAGAACCACCTCATCGCAAACCATTATATCCATACATTTAAAGACTTCTTTGAGAGTTTATAAGCTTACAAACAACAGACATAAATGTGGGATAATTAAGCTATCAATGTCTCACTAAAGAGATCTTTATCTGGGATATTTTGCATAGATTTTCCTGTGATTAGTAAAAATCTTTATTTATATGATTCAGTTTACAGTGTTACAACAACTGTTTACAAGTTACAGTTCTTGATGTTTAAAGGAACAGATGGTTTGTTGATGCTTGGTAACAAAACTAAATTATCCCACCTGAGTCTTGGAGTCCGGGCGGAGCCAGGGCACGGTCCCGTTGCGTCTCAGTTCGGCCATCTTGGAGTTGAGTTTGTGGGCGAGGACGACGGTGAGCGGCATGGACTCTTCTGTCTCGTCTGTTGCGTATCCAAACATCAGACCCTGTTCGCACAGAATGAGCAGAATTTAAAATACAAAAAAATGTCACTGATTTCTTCACAAACATACTTAATAAGCTTCTTTTTGCACAAATTCCAGTTTATGTAATACATATTTCAGTCTCTTCAAGTACTCTGTGGATAACAACAAAAGTTTACGACCACAAGTTCTTAAAAATTTCAAATGAAAGAGCTCAAATTTAATAAAATCAGACAGTAATTGTTGTGTTGTGACCTGATCTCCAGCTCCGATGTCGTTCTCCAGACGATCGATGTGAACTCCCTGTGCAATATCGGGAGACTGCTGCTCGAGGGCCACCAGCACGTTACAGGTCTTATAATCAAAGCCTGCACAGACAGAGAGAAGGGAAAAAGTTAAATTAACTTGTTTTACTTTAAAGAGAAGTACAACTCTTGACTAATATCACACTGTTTGGCTCACACAGCCACTAAATCCCAATCCAATCACATGTTTTCACTCATACATGAACACAAATGTAAAATAACTGCTGAGGCAACATCGAAAGATTTAATATCTGGTTCCCACTCACCTTTGTCTGAGTTGTCATAACCGATGTTCCGGATGGTTTCTCTCACCACCTTCTGGTAGTCCACGTTGGCTCGGGACGTGATCTCGCCACAGAGCAGCACCATTCCAGTCTTACACACAGTCTCTGTTTTAACACACAGAAGAAGACATTAAGTCAAGTTTGTTTGTTAGTCATGTGATTTATGCATGTGATGTAAGTTAAATGCTTTGCCTACGTTTAACCAGGCCGGTATTGGGTGTTTGTTTTCAGCATTATGGGACATTTTTGGGACTATTGGGGTTTGGAAAGTGTTTTTTTTTTTTTAAAGGATCAAAATCGATGCAGCAGAAGCAGAGAGATTATCTTTTCTTATTCCACAAATTCTTCTTCCTTGTCAAAACCTGCTGCCTACATTACCCACAATGCAACTCAACCGCCAACAATTTAGTCAGAGATTGTTATGCTAGTAGCGGCTAATGAAGCTTCAGGAGCAGCTACAGAGGTCTGGTGAGCTCCACTTCAAACTTGTAGTCTTCTGTCCCAACCAATGCTGACTCAAATGACATCGGTTGAGGACTTTAGAGACATAAAATACTTCATACACATTTTTCCATGTAACCATTAAACTCCCAAAGATGTTGATGTGAGTAGTTCTCTTTTAAGGATGCCTGCAAACAGATTGGGCTCAAACGCTGCTTGTGAGTATGTGTGAACGTATCAGCTGAATTCACAAATAAGTGACCAGTCATAAGTCTTTGTCTTGCATTTTTCTTTTAATTATATTAATAACAAGTGTTTCAGGTTCTGTTCCTCATCATGGAAGCAGAATGGTTGTGAATGCCACTTTATGTCTGGTAGCATCCTGAATGACTCCTAAAGATCTGATATAAAGCCATCAAGTAGAGTTTTCTTCTGTGTTTTGTGGACAAAAAGTTGAATCCATAAGTTAAATTGTCTGCTACAGAAACATAAAGGAAGATAATTGTAAACTGTGGCTCCAGTCTTTTGGTGCATTATTTCCCTCTAATGGACAGAAGCACATTGTTACTCACCACAGGCTACTTTGGCATCAGGGTCCTGCCTCAGGTGAGCATCCAGCACAGCATCACTGATCTGGTCACATATCTTATCTGGAAAACAAGATTTAAATACATCAATATTTGGTTCGCTCTGTGGGTGCCGGGTTGTTTCCTCCTTTGACCTTTTGCTACATGTGACATTCCTCATCTGGGCAGAGCCTGAGGGTATCAGATTTCACCTCTGCATCAGCGTACTACACATCTTTCTTATTAGGAGCTTTGGCCCTATGAATAGCCTTGGCATCGGTGTCACATGGTATGCTGTAACTCCATCACATCATCAAAGCGTTGCCACGCTCACCAGAACTCTACTGTACTCAAACCTGCTTTTACTTCCACTCCACTGTATTTATTTCACTCAGTAGTACGTTTTTTACTGTGTTAAATTTATCTGACAACCAGATTTTTCACTCAAAACATCATACAGGATATGATGTGTTGTTGAGAGCAAGAAATGTCCTCATCAAGTCATTTTAGTCTGTAAAGAATTAAACAAATGACAGAAATCAGCCAGTAGAAAGAATAGTAAAACCTTTTTTCAATGCAAATGTTCACACATTCTTAAAAATACTAGATTCACACTTTGAGAAACACCAACGTGAACCTAATGCTGGAGCTTGTTCTGGTTCTGAGTCGGTTCGCGAACCCTCTACCTGGGGATCGAGACCCCCACTAGGGGTCGCCAAATCTTCATAGGGGGTCAGGAGGCCTTGTTGATTTTAAAGGGTGTAAGAAAACTTAAAAAATATACTCAGTAGGAGACTTATATCTCAGCATTTCATTCATTTCTGTAAAGAAAACTAAATGAAATTGTAATTAATAAAAGTTTATATCATTATTTAAGATATAAAGTAAAGAACACAGGATACTTTCACTCTCTGATAAACAGCCTCGTCCTGCTTTAGAAACGTTAAAACAACCAAAGAGCTGATAGAACAATCATGAAGAGTCAGGGAGAATAAAACACAGAAATTGTCAAAAAAGAAGCCTATTAAGTCTGTATGATTGTTAAAAATACATAATACAGGCAGAGAATTGTATAAAAATATCAGGAAAACTGTCTGACTCCAGTAGATGAATGAATCAGATGAGCCTCAAAGCCTGGTGTGTTGTGTACTGCAAGTTTATCTTCACTCAAAATGCATAATTAGGTTGTTTTCACAAAATCGGATACTTGATTTAATAACATTTCCTTATTATGTTAATAGAAAACATAATTCGCTCTTCATTACGTTTCCATGCATATAAAAGCAGAGCAGGCGAGAGAAGACGTCAGAGTGCGACCATGTGGCTGTACACATAAGGAGCTATTATTGTAACGAAACTATTTACAAATGTGAGCAGAGAGTTGTGTAACTGTATCTCAACCTATGTGTGCGTAAACAGATTTCTAAATGTGTGTACATACATATTAACGGCTGAGAAGTCCAAGTATTTGCTCCAAGAGAAGAAGTCATAATGGCTCCGTATAAAGACCCTACGGGTCAAACTCATTAAAAGGACTGTTCATTAATTTTCCAGCACTGCTTACATGTTGCCTTTTGTATAACCTTAACTAACAAATAGCTGTAGGTAAGATCCGACTCTTAAAATGTAAAGAGAAAACAAAAGTGTCTGAAACTTTTCAACAGTTTTAACAGTTGTTGATTCAACTTAAAATCCCAAGTTTATTGAACTTGTTTTCTCAAGTTCAGTGAACAAAACTTCTTAGACGACTTTGAACTAATGATTCAACATAAGTTGAGTTAACTCACGTTTTTAAGCAGCAGCAGGAAAAGTTAAGTTTTTAAATTGAAGCAGCTTAAAAGGATTCACAGTGTAGTGTTTGGTTTGAGCCTCACATGCAGCTACAATGGAGGTTTTCTCCTTGATAATTTAATTAAAATCCAATTTAATATCCGTATAATCAAGGATTAATTATCTAAATACTTCACAGTTGCACCCAAAAACAAACAAATTAGAGCATAAATCAGTGCTGTGTGGTTCGTCAGATTGCGTTTTATGCTACAGCGCCTCCGTGCACCGCTCAGGATTCTGCACATTCCTCAAAGTCATCAATGATCACTGAAACATAAAAGTGTGGAACAACACTGGACAACCGACTACTCGTCATTCATAACCTGCAGGAGCTGCAGATGAAATGCTGTATGAGAGAGAGGGAGTCCTCTACTCACCAGGATGTCCCTCTCCCACAGACTCAGAGGTAAACATGAAGGACCCGTCCTGATGAGCGTGCTCGTTGGTCCCATCCATGGTACCGTTCATTTTTCTCCCTTGTCGAAAAAAAAAGCTGCCTGTGGAAAAAGTGGAGCAGAGTGAAGTGACGACTGTGGAGCAGCGAGGCCGTTGGGGGCACAAGAAGCCTCCTTATCAAAACAGGATGACAAAGACGGACAGATTGTGTGGTAGACTTTCCGCTGCAGTCTCACAGGTCCCGAGGCAGTGCAGCCGGATTACTCTGCGCTATATAAGGCAAAGACAACATACACACACGGCGGGGGGGGGAGGGTGCCATGTGAACCCAGTGGGTTAGACCATTCACAGGCGAGAAAGAGAAGGGAGGGTGGGATTCAAGTTTTTCTTCTTCGTGGAGACACTTTTTTGTTTTTTAAACTCTTCCTGCACTAAAAGGCCCCAAATCTGTCAGAAACTGGACTCATCAAAACCTCCTCAGATAGTCAAAACTAGTCCTGGACTCAAACAGCAGAGCCTTGATTTCATCAGACGGTTTCTCTGCAGCTCCTCCACCGATTCATTCATGCCTGCTCTTTGTTTCTTTGTACCTGGGGGCCCCTGAGGTCTCTGATGGGGCGTCTGTGGCTGTGTACACAGAGGGCTGGTTTTCACTGCAGAGCTCAGATATGAAGCGATGCAGTGGAAGAGGAACAAGGAACAAGAGTGCTCAGATCTGATTTTAAAGATCAATAAAAGTGTATTTTCATATTTAATGGGTGTAACTCAACAGATTATAGAGCCAACACAAGGAACAGAGCTGTATCTATACAGACTACTCAGCAAATAACTGAGAAAGCCATTGAAGTCCAATAGTTCAAAGATGGAAAGAAACAATAAAGGAAGAGACTAACGTACAGAGAGAGAAATTAAATTTCCTGTTTTTTTCTCTTTTGTTTGTTTGTTTGTTGTTTTGTTTTTGTTGTTTCACTCTGTTGGTAGCACTGTGTGTTTGGATTATATGTGTAAGACAACAAAAGAAACAAACATAAATACTCTGTGAAAAGATGATTTTTCTGCAATAAAAGTATATTAATATACACCTAACTTTAGTTATTAGTTATTCTGTGTAGCTGAAAAAGATTACATTTGGGTTAATTAGTTGTTATAAGAAGTATATAAACAGTTAATAAAAGGTTTATAATGCAGCTGTAAGTTTGTTAAAGGTCTGTATAAACAGATAATGAATAATAATAATAATATAATTGTATGTTATTATTACCGGATAAGTTAAAATGTCCTTATATCTGCTCATAACTCCATTGTAATGTGTTTTATTATATGTTTATTAAGTGCTAATAAATGATAAATGTTACTATTGTTGGTTTGAATCGCTAAATTAATGAAAATACTGTTTAATGGACACTTTGAGTGTCTGAACAATGAATGTGTTGCTTCTTTATTGTTTCAGATTAAAACACATGACGCTGTTTATTAACTGATAACTTTGTCACATTAAACATTAAAGTGTAGTTTTGCTTTTACAGCATTGTGACAGTGTATTTGTTGTCGGCCTGTCTCTGTTTACCTGTTTCTCTCTGGATGTCTGGCTCCTCCCACCTCCTTCAGTGATTGGTGTCACCTGCTCCAAGCCTTTAAAAACAATTTCAAGACGGCTGCCTCTCTCTCTCTCTCTCTCTCTCTCTCTCCCCCTCTCCTGGAGGACTGTTTCCTTTCAGGTACCCACTTGGGTTTGGTTTCAGATTGTGTTCAGTTTATTTAGGTTAACCTTCATTCATGTTGTACTGAGTTAAAGTAGCACCACATAACAGACACTTTTCATATAGAGCAGGTCCAGACCACAAGCACTTTAACAGGTTAGTAGAGACTGTATCAACCTTTTTATTTTAACATTTTAAAGCTCAGTCTGTGGATTTGTTTGTCCATTTGTTGTTGAGCACCGAGCTGCACTGTGACGTTCTGACCACTAGATGTCAACCTGATGCAGAAGCACTGGTTATATCTTTAAAGTAACAAACAAACTCCAGTGTGAATCTTATTATATTATTTATTATTGTTTTATTGACAGACAGTATAAACACATTTACATGCACATGCACTGTATCACTGCTGAGTGAACAAACTATATTCATCCAGTGATGTACTTAATATTTAAATTAATAATACTGTAAGTAAGTAAGTACGGTTGTTACGGTAAGTTATGGTTATTTAACATCTTAACTTAGTGGTTTCCAACCCTTTGTGACATTTATAATGTATATTTCATATTATATTAAACACTGTACAATGAACCCAAATAATAAACTCAGTAACTGCAGGAAGTTTGTGTAAAACAAGTGATTTTGATGAATTTTAACACATTGTTTCCTGTTTAGGGAACTTTTTATATAATTCTCTGTCTGTATTATGTGTTTTTTAATCATTTTTAACAATCAAACAGACTTAGTAAGCTTATTTAGCTCCTAAATAATTACATAAACTGTAAAACTGTACTTTAGTTTTCTTCACAGAAATGAATGAAACACTGAGATATCCTACTGTCTACTGCCTACTGTGTATATTTTTAAACGTTCTTACACCCCTTATAGTAAAAAGACCTTTCCACCCCTGTGAAGCTTTGGCGACCTCTAGTGGTTGGGAACTTATCTTACCAAATGTGTTTACTATAAGTTTCACAAATAAGTACAAAGAGAATATTTTGAATTACTGAGCTGTGATGGTGAATTAATAAGATAATTAATAATTGTGCAGCAGTTATATGTTTAATACTAAATACTGACTTTAATGATCAGGAAGGAAAATAAACTGTTAGAATATTTTACATTTTATCACATTTCTTTTAAGTTACAATAACAAGTGAAGAAACAGGGTTGGTTGTTTTGATAGATTATAATCTATAGTGATCCTAATTTGATCATTGATGATTAATAAACTATTAAATACGTCTTGAAAAAGAGTTCAGGGGACGTATTCTTGGGTTGGAAGATTGATGGCGTTAGTTTTTGTCTCAGGCCACCATCTTCTCATCGTCCTCTTGATTTCTTTTTGGACCTGAAACACAAATAATGTTTGTTTAAGTTGATGTTACAAACTGATTTTAAGTTTATTGTGTAAACGTACCTCTCCATTTAGAAAGCAGTACAACAGAGCAACAATAAAACCCTGAAACAGCAGAAAAAATTCAAGTTAGAAAAGAGCTGCAAACTACATTATAGATCTTGTCAATTAAATTGATTAGTTCATCTGCAGCTTAATGACTGATTGAACTGATTCCTGCTCCTCAAACATGAGGATTTAAGGTTTTTATTTGTGATATATGTCATATAAACTGATTATATTTGGTTTTTGGAGCATTGGCCCAGTAAAACAAGATACATGAAGACATCAAGTCTTCTTTTCACTATTTTCTGACAATTTTTTAGACCAAACAATTACTAAGTGTTTCAACATGTAATTACACTTGTATAGGACACTAAATACGTAAGTAATGAACACTGTAATGTGATTATATAGTTATTTTAACTAAAAAAAAATCAAATATTTTCATATTTTACTGTAAGTTACACAAACTAAATTTGGTAAGTTAATAAACATTCTTGATTAAGTAACTTTAGT